AAGCTCTTTGAGCCATTATTATATTATTTTGTTATAGGATAAATCACTACTAGAAGTATTCATCAATATTGTGATGCTTTTCCATGATAATTGGAGATATCAACCCGTTCCATATAACAGCAGCTGAATGATATTTGAATCAAAAAAATATTTCAATATCCACCATTGATGTGATGATGTTTTTCTAGTATTAATCTCCCATTTGTCAAGGTTTGAGAAGGAATAATGTAATTTTTTCCCTCTCAAAACAGTTCGTTTATTTAGCATCAATAAATCAGCACAAGTTCACAAACTATTCAATATCTGCGATCCTGCCTGATCAATTTAGGATGATCAATTGATGATTTTTGAAAGAATTGTATGATTTTCGAGGGCGTGATATCTGAAATATATTGACATGCATTCGAAGGAATATACTAGGTACAATCAGAATTTTTTGCCGAAGTTACAAGGAATATTCATCTAAAGATGCAAATGAATACTGATATTACTGATAATATCTGCTACTGTTATAGAACGAGTTAATAACGTTGTATATCTCCTCTTTATATACTAGGTGAACATTTAATAATAATCATAATGAATGTTTTTATTGGAAAAACTGTTTCATGATTGAAATGCGACAGGTGACAATATCTTTTTTAATTGAATTATTGGATAGTATCACATTTTATCTCCCCCATAATTGCTGAAACACACTGTATAATTCTTGACCAACAGCAACAATATTGAAGGAAACTTCTTGTAGTGACTTATCCAATCAAAAAATAATATAATAATAGCTCATATTGAAAAACTTTTCACGAGAAAAAACAAAACTAGCCAGTAGAACAGTTTGGTATTCGGACATTTTGTTCAGAATGTCTTGGACTATAACATATCAAAAATTCAGCCAATTCGACAAGAGGTCAATTTTCCCTATGAAACGTGTGGTGTCCTTTCTCAAGAGTTGATATGTGGGAGGAAGATGATGTGAATAAATCGACGCAGCAGACGTCGGGAAATGAGCGCACAGTGAGTGATACAGTTGATAAATCTCGAAGATAAATAGTACGTCCAACCGGTCTTTCATTGCCGAAGTGAAAAATAAGAAGTAAAGTCTCTCGACACTAATTGTTCAGCATTAAGATGGATGAGCAACTCCGACTCCAAATTCATGTTTATTTAACCATCGGCGAGATGGGTTTCCATTTTTAAATTAGAGCAAAAAATAGAGTTTGCAGACATGGTTATGATGAGGAAATGGAAGGAAAATGGACGGGTGATTTATTATTCCTTCGCATAAATAATAGAAGGCATCCTTTTAATGGAATGATTTACGGATACAACTGAATGGAAAACGAGATATGAATGCACAGTTGAAAAATATCATCGTTACATTCACGAGTAATCCTGAAGTTTTTAGCGAACTGGGAATATAGCGATAATTCGATATACAATGAAACACTTTTTCACATCGTTTTTATTCTGATAGTAACGAACAATATGTTTCGATATATGGAACAATCATCTTGACAGTAGATTGAAGTTGCATTGTCTAGATAGAGATGTATAGAAATTCAACTGGTGCGCTTGTTCCCTATTGAAGGTCGTTTGCAAGTTTCTTGATGCTGCCTACTCTGATGAACCTATGATAAACATACTTGACGTGGGTAAATCTCGCTAAGCTCAACGTGGTTTCAATCCATATTTACAGGAAACATATTACCGACCGATAAATATTTGGATACGTTTATGATTTGAATCAGAGCAGTGAACTGATTCCTGATCAAAGGATCGAAACGTCAATATGTCAAAAATATTCTTGAGCTGAAAAAATTAATTATTTCTGAGATTGGGGTCAAGTGTTAGTTAGGGACGTGTTCAGTAGTTTCTGAATTTTGTGTAAAATACCTAATCCACCATGGAAAAGAGAAAATCTCTGTTCTACAACAGTATTATTTCAGTGATTTGAAATATTAGCGTGAACTGGTGTGATTAAATTCTAAGGTGTGTACCAGTTACCATATATCTGCCTATTATGATTTTCGATACTGGTCTATTTCAATAGTTGATACATTCTTTGTTCTGGTTCTTCAGAGAGGAAATTCATCAGATTTCATGCTTTAAATAGGTTCATGTCATGAAAGAACTGAAGCTTATTGAAATCGGCTACAAAAAAGATTTCTTGCTTCTATTTCAAATTGAAATTTGAATGAAAATGTTGAGCACAGTATTTATTCGACCACAAAACAATGATGGAAATAGATTCATCCTTCACAGAACCAAGGTTTTGAACGATTTTCCGATTATGGCGCCTCTATCGCAAATACCTGAACCCCACGTCCAAAACTCGCTTGCAATTGTTCCATATCGAGAGTTAGTCTGACGAAACAATCGAAGAGTGAGCCCACCAGTTAAATTTCTATATATCTCTGTCTAGATAGTGCCTACTACACAGATTGGTCAGTTTGTTGATAAATTGATTAATTTCAATGCAGATTTTGTACAGTGGTGAACATTTTTGCCATGTGACTTATCCAAGATGATTTATACCAACATGAAAAATATGGTGTACTAAGCTTTTATCTGACATCTGATATTGGATTCGATAGACGGAAGAGTAGGTGACTTACTGAACTTTGATGTGAAAGAATTCAATCCAAGATTGAAATTTTATTTTTCACCCTTGGCGCTGTCATTTCACTAACAAGGAAGAACTGGGAATGAAATATTATAGTACATAAAACTTTTCAAGGAAATAGAACAAACAATGTATCCTTGACCTACCTCAACAAATATTTGGAGAAAAGAGAAATAAACATCAGAGTTGAACAATTGAAATAAAAAACAGACATGAACTTGGCGCAAATATTTACTGAAAAGTTTTCAAGTTATTGTGGGAGCGTAGAGAGAATATTGAATAATATATGAATGAATGACTATATTCCCATTGTCAGGTTGAAAATATCGTTAAGACAGGCCAAATTCAAAGTTTTTTCTACATACAATGTGATAAATAATTCGAAGCCCTGAGGGGGCAGATGGACAATCTAGCCTTTATAGCCATCTAGTGGCTTAAGTGCAAGGTGTATAGGTAGATTCATCAATCATACCTTGCGACTTAGTCGTGCATATAGACCCCTACGTCTATATGCTCACAGAAAAGACATCCATGTCAGATTCTGTAGACTATCGCAACACCTGTAATTCTCAAAGTGGTTTAATGTTCCACTAACAGATGGTGATAAACCTAGAATCTCAAGACTAAGAGATTCTAGGGAAATTTCGTGAATCGATTGTCAGCTGATACAAGACAGACTGTTTCGACTTGCCATAAGTCTCATCAGTTGCACTGGCCAGCTGACAATCGATTCACGTAGGGGTCTATATGCACGACTTAGTCGCAAGGTATGATTGATGAATCTACCTATACACCTTGCACTTAAGCCACTATAGAAGGCTAAGAAGGCTAGATCGTCCTTCTGCCCCCTCAGGGCTTCGACTTGTTTGATATATGGAGGTATCCTTCGTGAATCGATTGTCAGCTGGCCAGTGCAACTGATGAGACTTATGGCAAGTCGAAACAGTTTGTCTAGCATCAGCTGACAATCGATTCACGAAATTTCCCTAGAATCTCTTAGTCTTGAGATTCCAGGTTTATCAATGTGATAAATTTCATGACATAGTGAATACATGATATATTTAATCAATATTGGCTACTACTAAACTTCCAAATAATGTTTAGGTGGTATATATATATTCGAATTCTAAATACTACTGTCTGTTTCGCATTGATATGTAGTTTCAAGATGAAATATGTGATATTTCAAAATGTTGTCACAGTGTGTGATTATGTATTTGTAACAACGGTTATCAAAAATCTTTCAATCGATATTGAACTTCTGACGAGTGCCTAGTTAGGAATTGAGAAATCTTCAAATACTACTTGAGAACTGGAAACAAATACACTTGATACAACGGCTGGTGTCCTCTATATAGTGTCTGATTATCAGTCCATTGTTACAAACGATATATCTGTATTCTTCTTGACCTGATGATCTCAGATATTAGAGACAGTGATCATTTGCTTACGTCGTTATCAGAATCATGTGATTTTTCATGATTTCTGGAGTATGCATGAAAAAAAAATATAGCAGGTGCTGTTCAATTCACTCCTCAATATCATCATTTATTGCTGGACCATCTGCTTCCCCATTGAGTTGTCTTACTTCGTTGCATATCGCAAGAAGCACCGTTCTTTGTGGATAGTGAAGTAGATTGTACTGGAATGTATATCAGGTTAGATGGACATATCCGGAGAATTCCATATACTCGGAATCTCCGTTGAATAGGTAATTTCATGCTGGATTTCTGATTAATCAGTTATTGTGACTCATTTGATTTGTTGTCAGATGAAAACACATTTGGCAAATGGAAAGAGACTATCATGAGACGCGCTCGAATGCGAATAACCAAAAATCAATTCAGAATTGATGGGGCCAAAAGCCAAAAACGTGTTAAATCCCGTGGGATTGATTTTTGGTCTTTAAGTGCGCTCACTCAAGGGTATGGGACCATTTTCCCTGTTTTACAACTAAAAATGATTATTAAGAGCACCTTGTGTGTTCGTCAAGTTTCCCTTCTGGGACTTGACATTCGATTTCACAAGTACGCGTTCTTAGGCCACGGGGACCTTCATTTTCAATGAAAACCCGTTTATTCCTATAATATTCATTCATCATTATTATCTTTCACGATATCATGATTAGAGACATCGGCAACCATTTTTAAAAAACATATAATGTTCACCTCCATCAACTTTTGAAATATGGCTGAAGATGGACTTTTATAAATCCAAAACATGTCTTGTTGATTGACTACATCAATACTAAAGTTGTGGAGATGACCTTGAGCTTTCCTTCCTCCTTTTAATCGAGAATCTATTCAAGTAAGAATAATCAGGTTTCGAAGTGATGAAGCTTTACCCTATAGAATCCATGAAAAAATGTCGAACTCACCTCATTCTGGATACGAAGACCGGAGCGAAATCCAAGGTGGTCCATATCCCCAGATCTCCCACGTCCTGCCATCCGGAATATTTCACGAGCGTGCAAGCTGGCGAGGGCGCATCTGGAACAAAATATATCGGGATTATTTCTGGATGATTGGGAAATATCGGGATAAAACTATATGGGAAGACTTATCCTGGATACAGAAATATTTGGTGCGCGAAACGTTCAACAGATTACTGAGCGAATTGGATATGGTGTGGTGATCATATACAGAGGACTCGAGGGTATCGAAACATAAACAATTCCTTATATATCGAAAAGAGACACGTGTCGAGGCGTAAGAAAATCGGTTTGGTTAGTTCTAAAACAGGGTATTGTGGTTGAAATGTCTTACTAATGACTTTTTGTGGAACATCATAGTTTCGTGCTTGAATAACTAGAGGCATGTGTGTATTGGGTTTTTAAAATTTCTTCAGGCAATTGACCCCTGAAAATTTTTCTCTGAGCAGGAACAGAATATTTCAAAGATTGCCTTCCTATGTACTGAGCTTGTGTTTGTCTGACTGATATTTTGTTATTTGAGTGTTAACCAGGCTGATGGCTTGTCTCTGAATGGAATCTTAGTGCATCTTGGTATGTTTCGTATTGACACTCATTGTCGGATAAAATATTCCAACATGAGTTGGATCTGTCTTTATCCTGAATATTAATTCCGCAGTTTCAATGGAATATTCACATTCATTCAGAATTGGAATATATACCTATATTTATATTTGCCGACATTATATTTGATTCCAGCATATACAGGGTGGGCCACCAGTAACGCTTCGGTCTCTAGAAGGCTAACCACTTATCTTCTTGGAATTCTTCCTCTCTAGGAAGTTGCATGTCAACATAGGCTACCATTTGAAATTATTTTGAAACATACAGGATGTCCCCAAAAATCACAAAACACTGAAGTTGAACTTCTTTCAATCGAACACCCTATATATTATTTCATTTCGAGATTCTCCCTGATGATCTGATTTCAACGACCCATCATACTTGGGGTCTAGCAGTTATAATTACTGAGATATAGGGTGTGAGAAATCGAGATTTCAAGAATTTTTTGTGTCTAAACCATTCATAATTGGTCAAAACGGCTCACATGTCCCTATCTCAACTTTTGATCAACTATCTACTGACATTTAATTGAAACAAATACAGGGTGGTGCAGAATTCAGAATCTTGATCACCCGGTATGTCCCAATTAAATATCAGTAGATAGTTAATCAAAAGTTGAGATAGGGACATGTGAGCCGATTCGACCAATTATGAATAGTTTCGACACAAAAAATTCTTGAACTTGGAAAACCTCGATTTTTCACACCCTATATTTCAGTAATTATAACTGCTAGACCCCAAGTATGACGGGTCGTTGAAATCAGCTCATCAGGGAGAATCTCGAAATGAAATAATATATAGGGTGTTCGATAGAAAAAAGTTCAACTTCAGTGTTTTATGGTTTTTGGGGACACCCTGTATGTTTCGGAATAATTTTAAATGGTAGCCTTTGATGACATGCAACCTTCTAGAGAGGAAGAATTCCAAGAATATAAGTGGTTAGCCTTCTAGAGACCGAGGCGTTACTGGTGGCCCACCCTGTATATGATATTTTTGTATTCATCTTTTGAGGTCCTTAATCAAGCAAACATCCGAAAATTTTTTTATCCCTGTTAGTTTTCGAGAATTTTGCACCATTCCTGCTATTTCGCCACCAAGAAAATATCAGTGTTTCTGGCAGTACAATATTCTTTATCTACACCCCAGGATATGGGAATATGCCAGTCAGACATAACATCAACCCTTTTTGAAAAAGGTGAGTTTTGTCTTCTTTTGACCACCAAAAGTTGGTCCGTGAGGATGTGCCGAATACTTTTTCCAAAGAAGTATAGGTCACAAGGCATAAGGAGTATGAAGAAGATGTGAGGCACTGAAACTTATATCCCGGCCGCCACAACCCTCAGGGCGACACACAGCGTCGCGACGTCACAGATAGGTGCCTCCCCCGTCGACGTCGGAACGATATTAGGGGATGCGTGACCAGAGTGCCGAATGCCATGTCAAAGGCGATAATGCCGGGAGAGATTCGGGCGAATCACCCTGCCGCCTGTTTTCGCGGAAATGAGAAATCGCTGACTGTCGAGGGGTGCGGTCGGTGAATGACAATGAGCTGGTGGAGTGGAGAATTTATTTTTCCAAGATTTTATACCCTAATCGCACACAACGTCCTAGGGACGTCCCTATTTGGTACAATTCAAGTCCGAATGTCCTGGAACAAAAATAGGTGTCCTTGGCACGTCCCATCCCGTACATCTCATGCAATGTCCGAGCAAGGACGTCCACGGAATGTCCCAGCTGGTACATCATTCAAAATGTCCTAAAACTAGCACCCCTCAGACGTCCCACGTGGTACATATTGTAGAATGTCCATGCAAAGACGTCCTTGGCATGTCCCTGATGGGATATGATTTTGAACGTTCCTTTGGTGACATCCATCGGATGTCCCAAGTAGTACATATTCTGGCATGACTTCAGATCTCATATAATGTCCCTTCTAGACAACTATGAAATGTCCTTGATGGTACATCTCTTCGAATATCTCTGCACAAACGTCCTTAATATTTGCAGAATCGCATAGCAGTCGAAATGTTCTTTAAGGACATCCTTCGAATGTCCCTAAGGGATATCCGTCGGATGTTTCAATTGGTACATGGACTGTACTCTTCTAATGTCATAGAAATAAATTCCTACGGACGTCCCAGTCGGTACTTTCAATACGTTGTCCCTGCAAGGACGTTAACTTACACCTCGCCGACGAATGATTGCTCGTAGGGTATGAATACTTCCCGTCAATATCCTTCACGTGAGTCCATTGGACATCCTCGGAAAACTTTTTCAGAATATATTCGAGACCTTCTACGGACCATTAACTCAACTGGATATCCTCATCAGTTATCCACGATCTGGTCCTAGAGAGACCCAGGAAAATTTAAATTCAAGAATAATTCGTACGTTCCTGGGACATCATATGGACAACCAATTGATATTCCTCAGCGTTGCTGATAGGTTGTCCTACGGATGTCCTAGGGATGTCCTCCGTAGTGCTCGATGATGAATACTGTATAGGATTCCATTGGGACATCCCTCAAGGATGTCCCTAGTTGGTCCTCAAGAGGGACATTTGTGCGTCCCACAGACGTCCAATGGACGTCCACGGTACCAAATTCGAACGTCCAATGGACGTCCTGAATGTCCCGACAGGACGTCCTAAGGATATCCAAGGGACATAATTGTGTTATTAGGGTAGGTTTATTTGGGTTGCGATTTCAGAACTGTTCAAGAATCGTTATCGAACTGCGTAGAACTAGTGCGCAGTCGTTTCGAATCCTAGGACTGTTCCAGAACGGTTCACAAATCATGAAAACCCGAACGCGGCAGAAGAGAACCTCTGAGAACATAACCTCTATCCAGAATTTGCGAAAAAAACAATAGTTTGGAACCTGTATCTTTATTCGAATAATATTCTGAAGCTTCAATCTCTCCTTTGAGTCTATTCACAATATCTCTGGAAGCCCTCTGTGCATGAAGGAATGGTCAATATATTCCATCATATTATTCACAGCTAGATTTTCAATATGTTTTGTTCCTTGTACCTAAATGAATTTCGATACTCACCTGGAATGTTCAATGAACGGTGTATCTGAATATAATGGCAAAGTATCCCCAACATGATCCTCCATTTTCCGGATTATCTATCAAAAGTTCGAGAATTATCAGATTGGACACAATATTTTCAGCAACTTCAGCAAGGAACTTCTTCACCACTGCTTCCTGAAGATGAAGAACTACTACTATCAAATGAATGTAATAACTCCATAATATTGAGAAAATAGTGAAAAGAGCAATGAACAGTTGAATAAACAAAAATATATCACTATGACGTTACGCTACAACAGACAGAATCGAAAACTAAATGAAGTGAGCATGCGCCAAAAATAATCCTAGAACGGTTCATGCTCGAGTGCAGGTACTAGTTTCGGATAGTTCTAGAACCGTCCCAGGACGATTCAAGAGTCAGTCCTAGAACAGTTCCACAAAACCCGAACGCGACCGATTTTACTGCGCAAACTCCTGGAAGTTCTAGAACAGTAATAATTCGAACCCGAATGAACCTTATTTGATTCTGCGATCCAGGACGAGTCCACCAACCTGATAAACTCCCCAGTAAACACAAACATGTCTCGCTAGGTAACAATGCGAATTACAAGAGAACATCATTGGTATTGCCAGGTGACTCTGTATTTTACAAAACATTCGCAATATTCAATGAACGGTCTCCTGGCCATCTTGATTTTTCTCGTTGAACTCTCAATATATACTTCTGCTACCGATGGAGATTCCTTTCTCCCATGTTGCTCTTCAGTTAGATTGGCTCGATTATTTCATTCACATCTGTCTGCACCTACGAAATTTCATGATTGAAGTCACATGACATGTGATATCAGAGGCTATTTAGGTAAACAAACATAATAGGAGCGTCTCGTTTTGGGTCTACTTTCACTACAAAAATCAGCAGTTCATATCAATGAAATAATTTCTGGTTATTTGCCAGCAGAAAAATTATAAATTTTGTGCGACTCTTCCCCAATTCTTGTGGTCGTCAAAATTCTGGAAGATTGAGTGAAGAGTATGGTGAGGAATATGGAGAGTACACAGTTAAATTGATAAGGAAATCAATACAGGAAGTATACTCCACTGAACATAAACGGGAGAAAAATGTATTTGAAGATATCGAATTGAAAGGCGCCAGGGTAGCGCATTATGCAAAAAAGCAAAGCCTAGCAATATTTTCTTCAAACAGCTGAAGCTAAATAAAGTAGATACGTTCATGGTTAGCTGAAGTCAACTCTACTATTCAAAAGTCCGTTCCTGTTTCAATGGTTTCTTGGTAGCTGATATACTTGTTTTGAATTGATACCTGTAGAACCATGTTCCATAGATATTTCTCTCTCTGGCGATACCACAATCGATTTCAGATAGCAATTCCACTTGGATGGAGATATAAATTCAACAGAT